GTGGTCTCGTATCCTGGTCAGTGAGTCAGACTCCCTGCTGACTGCCTCACAACTCTAGCTCACTGACTCCTCAGACAGACAGTCGGTTGAGGTAGGTCCTGTCATTACCCCCATCTTACAGATGAAGAGATAGACAGAGGTCAAGTAAGTTGGCCCAAAGTCATACAACTGAATTGCTGAGCCAGGACTCAGAATAAGGCCGTCAGGCCCACCCCATGCTGTCTTGCCTCTTGTGTGTATCTATTGTCCTGTCCTTACACTGTCTGGCCTGAAAGTTGGCCCTTTTCTGAGGAAACGTATGAAAAAGTCTTTATATGTGAGGTCTTTTAACTGGTATCTGGGCAAGAATTAGGAGAGAAATCGATTTGTAAGAGGCAGTTTTCTGTTTGGGTTTAGATCTCAAGTCACATCTTCAGCTCATCCACCCTGTCTTCCCCCAAATCAAGGCCCATCAGCCCCTCCTATGCTCAGAAGTGGATTTCCAACTTGTTCTTTACTGTTATGGGAAAGCAGAGAATACCCAGAGCAGAAGGCAACACTCAGAATTTCCATTACTGACAAAATTTGGCATAGGTAGGATTATTCTTAAGGAAAAATGGGAAGGTCGTTCCAGATAGATAGGAAGATAAGGAGATCATGTCTTCATAAGGGGACTTTGTCTACCACGAACCCAGAATAAAGTGATAGTATGAGAGATTTGGTATGTGTGTACTTTGTTAGCGTAAATTAGATCATTTTCACTTGAATTTATAGAAACCACAAGTTAAGTGATTCAGAATCCAGATGAATCCACAAATCTACAAAAATCTATATTTATAGTATAAACTATGGCCTTTTATAATTGGTCAATAATTTATAGTTTGTAAGAGGAAGAAAGGTTCAAAGCACACAAGCTTTAGAACCTTGGGCTTTATTTTCTCTTCCTACTCCCTATCTTCGTGATCTTGTGCAGGTCACTTCAAGATCCCAATGTGGGAAATGTGGATGATGACATCGTCTCCCAGGGTTGCTCTAAGGAGTCAGTGAGGTAACACACAGAGCATGCTTGACACATGATGACCACGTGGTAGAGATGAATGTCATTGTCCTACTAGGATTCAAGGAGAAAGTCCTCAAAACCACTTTCAGGAAGGAAACTGTTTTTAATAGAAGTATCTCAAAGTCCTTTAAAAAAAAAAAAAGGTAGAAATGTCAAAATGGTGGCATTTATGGCTGTGAGAATAGGGTAGGGAGTTGTGGTTAAGGATAAGGGACCTTTCCTGGTGTTCGCTGAATCCCCTGGCTTCCCTGATCCACATTTCCTAAGCAACTGCAAAGACTAGAAGGAAAAAATGTGCAAAGGAAACCAGCCTGAAATCCTCTCTGATGCCCAGGCCTTGGTTCCCAGTGATCAGAACAGAGGGGGCATGTGGACAGCCCAGCTGTCGGGTAGGCTGACAGCTGGAGAAGTCCAGTGCCAGGCACTGTTCTCAGAGTGCCCATGCCAGGGCACAGGGTGACTTAAGATGAATGTCAGTCTGCAAGAACAAATTCTATCTGGTTTTGAATAAGTTATTACATGTGAACGGCCCATTGGAGATGCTACCATGTATGATAATTATTTTATTCTCAGAAAAGTGATAGTAAGAAGTTTCAGAAATTGGGGGTGGGTGGGTACCAGGGATTGAACTCAGGGGCACTCATCCACTGAGCCACATTCCCAGCCCTAGTTTATATTTTATTTAGAGACAGGGTCTTGCTGAGTTGCTTAGCACTTGCTACTGCTGAGGCTGGCTTTGAATTCACCATCCTCCTGCCTCAGCTTCCCAAGCTGCTGGGATTACAGGTGTGTGCTACTATGCCCAGTGAGAAATTTGAAAACTTTTAAACATATATAACATTTGTTAAATTATCCTAGATAATAAAAAGTACTTATTTATTATTAGGAAATTTGAAAAACACAGAGAAGCACAAAGGAAAAACAAAAGCACTCATGATCCCACTAATGTAACTACATTTTAGAATGTAATATATTTTAGAAATAAATACCTCATAGTGTTTTTGTCCCGTATGCTTTACAGTTGTAATCATCCTGCAGATTTTGTGCTCTAATCTGCTATTTTCAGAAACTAACACAGTAAAAATTTTTTTCTGGTACCAGTGATTGAATCCAGGAGTGCTTAACCACTGAGCCACATCCCCAGGGCTTTTGATTTTTTATTTTGAGACAGGGTCTCACCAGTTGCTTAGGGCCTTGCTAAATTTCTGAGACTGGCTTTGAACTTGCAATCTTCCTGCCTCAGCCCGCTGAGCCACTGGGATCACAGGCATGTACCACCATGCCTGGTTAACATTAAATATTTTTGTAGGATAACTTTTAATATCTTCATGATATTTCACAATATTTTACTTAGTCAGTCTCACTATTAGACCTAAGTTCTTCCCAAATTTTGACTATCATTTTTTTATAAAATGAACATTAAACTATCCCTCTATATCCATGGGGTATTGGTTTCAGGAACCCCTATTGGTACCAAACCTATGTGCTCAAGTTCTTTATGTAAAGTTTGCATGAAACCTGTGCACATCCTCCCCTATACTTTAAATCATCTCTAGGTTATTTACAATATCTACTACAATGTAAGTGCTATACAAATAGTTGTTAAATTGTATTTAGGGAATACTAACAGTCTGTACATATTCAGTGTAGACAATTTTTTTTCCCAAAATATTTTCCAACCTCAGCTGGTTGAATCTGTGGCTGGTATAGATGGCGACTATATTATGGCTGAGCATTACCAGACTTCACTGTAAATTCATAGGTGTAGCCTCACCCTACACATTGTGTTGCTGGGAGGTATTGGGGCTGGAGACAATCAGGGAGACCAGGCCAGTGTCTTAGAAAGCAGCTCTCCAGGTTCAGGGATGACTCCTCCTCTAAATGGTCCAAAGAGGTCCACAGAGAAGTTATCTTGAAATTCAGCTGTGCATGATATTTCTGTGAGTCCTTCCTACAATGAATGTGCCAGGATCTGGTAATCAGCAGCAAACATGCCTATCAACCGACAGATGTTGGCACTGGCAGGTGACAGGTAGCAGGGATTGTAACAGTCACCTACATTTCCATGCTTTTATTTACATAATTTTTTTGAAATTAGAATTTTGCTATGTGTGTTGTTGAAACACAATACCTTCTTGATTTAAATGCTTCAAATTGAGTTTGAAAAATTGTGTTTTTGAATATATAATTGCTTAAATAGTATGAAAAGGACTGATTGTAAATAAAAACTCTGAGAGGAACTCTGTAAGCACTCTGGCAGAAATGCTAATATTAATTAGAGAAAAGATAAACATGAAAATCAAATGAACCTCTACAGTGCTACAGACGGACATAGAACACGGGAGAACTACTGGAAATGAGTAAAATGCCCAAGACTGATGAAGGGGAATTACTGGTCGTGAATCAACAAATTGACAGTGGCTGAAACATATCTAAAAATATGTTATCCACCTGGGAGCCCCACACGGCCTCTGCTGCTTTCCTCAGATCTCTCCCACCTTCTTCTGTCTGACTAAACACACCTTTCAAAGTCAAAATAATAAGACAGTTTCTTATGCCTCTCATCTTTTCTCTTTTTGGTACCAGAGATTGAACCCAGGGGCACTCAACCACTGAGCCACATCCCCAGCCCTTTTTATGTTTTATTTTGAGACTAGGTCTCGCTAAGTTGCTAAGGCTGCCTTTGAACTTGTGATCCTCCTGCCTCAGCCTCCCCAGGCATTGGGATTGTAGCGTGCACCATGCCTGTGGGCCTCTTATCTTTTCAATTTCCATGAACAAATCACAGGAGCAGTCTTTTGTTTCTGACCATTGGGCCCATTCGTTCCCATTTGTTGTTATCTGAGAAGAGCAACATTTTCATTTGGGTTAACTAAGAAATATATGAATGAATGTATAAAATGCCCCAGTGTTAGTAGTACAGTCTGCCCAAACCCTTTGATGAAAGATAGCTAGAATTCCTGACTTTCAGTTATTGAACTTACTAGTGTCTGTTGTGTTTTCATAAATATTTTGAAAAAAACATGAACTAGGAGTCATTGTCAACCTCATAACCTGGAAACCTGAGATTCTCTTTTTATGGTTCTGGGGATTGAACCCAGGGCCTTATACATATTAGGCAAGCACTCTACCACTGAGATACATCCCATCAGGAGATTCAGTTTTTTGTTTTGTTTTAAGTTTTTTTTGTTTTTTTTTTTTTTTAAGGTGGACACAATATCTTTATAATACATTTACATGGTGCTGAGGGTCAAACCCAGTGCAAGGCAAGCACTCTAACACTGAGCCACAACCCCAGCCCTGAGGTTCACTTTTTTAATTTTCATGTTTTTAAAATTTTATTTTGAATTTTGAACTGTTTCCATATTAGAGTTTTAAACACTGTAACGATTGTTTAACTATTATCAATAAGTACCTTTGTAGCAGTGCCTCCTATGAGGCAGGTACATTCCTAAACAGACATTTTTCCTGTATCATCACTGATTTTCACAGTGACATAAGGATTTATACATTACACATTAAGAAGCAGAGGTTCAGGGCTGGGGCTGGGGCTAAGCGGTAGAGCATTTGCCTGGAATGTGCAAGGCCCTGGGCTCGATTCTCAGCATCACAAATAAATAAATAAATAAATAATTCATTGGCAACAACAACACAAAAGAAACAGAGGTTCAGAGAGGGTGGGTGACCTGCTCATAGCTAAAAACAGTGTGGCCGTACTTGCCTGTAGGTCAGTCCGCCTCAGAAGCCACTTACCTGTCACCTGGTATGGGGAAAACTGAGAGAGAACAGACAAGTGCGGGAAACAAAACCCAAACTCTTCTGTCCTGGGTAACTAGACCCTTGAGACAGACTAGCGTTTTCCTATGGCTTTCCCAACTTTTCATCAGCATGCGGTCATTTCTAAATGTTAAATTCACTATTTCAGACTCGCTCCCCTCCTCCTGCCCCTTTGATCTTCCAGGCCCTCAGTACCGCCTGGAGAAGCAGAGTGAGCCCAATGTCGCCGTTGACCTGGAGAGCACGTTGGAGAGCCAGAGTGCGTGGGAGTTCTGCCTGGTCCGCGAGAACAGTACGTTGGCTGTCTCCCTCCGTGCCCACTTTGTCTGTTGCAAACGTGCTTAGAAGTCATGGGTTTGAACACTCGCTGGCCTGGCTTTCCTAGGCAGATTGAAAGTGGCTGTTTCCCAAGGCAGACTGCAGCCTCTGTGCCAGAAGTGTATCCCAGAGTGAAATAATAGATTCCGTGCTGTTGGCTAGAGTCCACATCCTGTTTAGCAGCCCGTGATTCATATTTGTCTGTTGAACTGTGTCTTCCTCGGTTAGGAGCAGCCCTGAAGACAGTTTAGAAATAGGAGGCCCTTTCTGAGGCAAAGGCAGTTTTGTATGTAAAGCAGCTGGGCCTGTATCGCTGTTCAGACATCAAGTTCACACAATTTTAGCCTTTTGAATACTTAGCAGAAGGCAATGTTGAGATTCCTAGAGCCATGTTGAGCACTTCTCTAACACTTCAGTTAATTCCTTTCCTTCTCTCTTCAGAGCTTCTGGGTTGTGAATTTTTCCTATCCCTCTTCACTGTACTCCCACGGACACAGAGGATAAGTGATGTGTGACAACAGATTGTCCATGGTCACTCCTGCCCAAGGGCTTTCACAAGGGCTGTTTCTTCCTCCTGAGACACTCTTTCTGCCATTCTGGTTTCTCATCCTTCACTTCAGTTTAAATGTCACATCTTCAGAGAGGCCACCATGACCTCCCTTTCTCCCATCACCTAAGCCTGATCCACCCCTCATTTGGCTCTTCCATTATACTCTCAGAGGCCATACTTCTTTTTAATCATTGCATTTCTATTTACAATTATATGTATATTTATTTATACACACACTTATTTATTATAAATAGATATACATATGATTATAAATATTTATAAGTGTGTGTATAAATAAATTTTTCTATTTATAATTATAATATATTTATTTACACACACGCTTATTTATTTTTCTCAGTCATTGTCTGTCTCTCCCACTAGACTGTCAGGTCTGTAAAGATGTTATAGCAGCTTGTCTTTCATTAATTCACTAGCCCACTAAAGACCGTGTGCTGGAGGAGCTCAGTAAATATAGACTGAAGAGTGAATGAGTCGTCGGTCTGTAGTCACACCACTGACCCTCTAAACCAGACCAGACTGCTGCTTTTCGACCAGGATTTCTGACACCCTTTTCTGGAGCCGCATGCACACAATTCACTGAGAGTGTGAAATGTGCTCTTGGCGTTCAGCAGCAAAGTCTCAAAGCTTGGTGTCCGCACAGTCTGCAAAAATTGTATGTAAATACACAGCAGTAAAAATCACTGGTTCCCAAGTGATCCAAAAATGTTCACATAAATAGTAAACATTTGTTAAATTGTTCTTCCCTATCAACATCTTAAAGCAAAATGTAGTACTTGTTACCTACCCCATAAGCCAGAACTTTCAAGCAGAATCCTGGTGGTGGAAAAGCACAGGGAGAGAGACCCCAACACTGGCAGCAGGAGTGTGAGGAGTGTGCTACAGCTGGTGCACCGAGCAGCATCAGAGTGCTTTCCCCAGTGTTTCTTTTTGGAAATCTGTCTTGAGAGTATCTATAAAATGCAACAGATATTTATATATAATACTTTTCAATGTTATTTCTAGTATCTGACATTAGAAGAGTAGTCGGATAATTAGTGGTGTACTCCTACGTTGGAGAATCATGCAGGGTTTCATATGGGATATGCTCTGGGATCACAGTGAAATTAAGCTGAAACCAAGAAAAATACAACTAGGTATTTGAGAGTGTTTGTGTATATTTGGAAATTGAGACGTAAGCTTCTGTGAACCTGTAGCTTAAAAAAGAAGTAACAGAAATTTGAAACTATTTTGGTGGGAAGATAATGAAAATTCTACATTTTAAAATTTGGGGTTATGGCTAAAGCAGCACTTTAAGGAAATTTTACAGTCTTCAAATTTATTTTATCAAAGAAAAACTGAAAAGTAATGAGCTAATAAACATTCAACTCAAAAAATTAAAAGGAAATCTAAATAAGAGGAAGGAAGCAATAAAGATAAGAGCAGAAATTAATGAAATAGCAAATTCAGAAACATCAAAAGGAAGTTGGTTCTTTGAAAAGACTGGTAAAATTAGCAAAGCTCTAATGACATGGATCAAAAATGTGGAAGAAAAATAACAAGAGAGACAAGGAACAGAAAAGGAATGGAGACACACTACAGATTCTGCAGTCAGTATGCCAGCAACACGAGGTTATCTTGAAAACTTCATTCCAAAACTTTGGAAAACTCGGATGAATAAATTCCTGGGAAAAGACAACTTACCCAAAAAGACAAAAATAAATAGAAAACCTGCATGCTCAGATTCAGTTTTGAAAAATGGAATTAGTGATTCAAAACCTTCCCACTTAAAAAAAAAAAAAATCCAAGGACGATGATTTTACTGGCTAGTTCTACCCAATACCTAAGGAATGAATAACTACAGTCAGTTGTTCCAGAGACTAGAAAAACAGATTACCCTCTCCAGTTCATCTGAAAAGGCTATCTTAAATTGTGGTTCCAAACCCCTGTAAAGACCATACAAGACAGGAAATTTTAAGGCCAATCTTAAAATATAGCTGTAAAATTCCTAAACAAAATGTTAAAAAACTGACTCCAGCATTTATTAAAAGAGTTATATGTTCCCAAGTTGACTTTTTTAAATATATATATATTTTTTTACTTGTTGATAGACCTTTGTCTTTTTTATTTATTTATGTGCGGTGCTGAGAATCAAACCCAGTGCCTTACACATGCCAGGCAAGTGCACTACCTTTGAGCCATAGCCCCAGCCCCCAAGTTAATTTTTTTGAGTTGAATGTTTATTATCTCATTACTTTTCAGCTTTTTTTTTTTTTGATAACATAAATTTGAAGGCTGTAAAATTTCCCTGCTTTAGCCATATCCCCAAATTTTAAGAGTATAGACTTGGTTTACCATTATAAAACTCCAGTCCATACGATTTGCCACAAGAGTTTAGTAGTGAGAGCAAGAGAGAAATAATTTTGATGTAATCTTAAAGGGAAAAAATTAGATGAATAAAAAAGAGCACATATAGGCTAGTCCCAACAACATAAAAATAAAACAAGCAAATAAAAGATACAGAAGAAAAATTGGAAGGATTTTTCCGGTTGACAAGATTCCGGGTAGTTCATTTTCCTTTCTTTTGGTACTTGTACTTTCCAGATTTTCTGAAGTGAGCATACATGACTTTCTAAGAAGAAAAGCGAAAAAAAAAATAAGGGCAAGTTCACATATACAAGACTATATAATGAGTACATCGATTAGTGCTCTTCTTGAGACAATTGAAATTTCAAACCATTTATACAGACATACACAGTACCACACCATGACATGTCAACAGGAAAGGTTTGCCAACACAAGCCTTTGCTTTCGCAGCTTGCTTATCTAAATTCTTTACCTGATAAAAATAGATAATGGTGCCCTCCTTCCCTGTCATTTTCCTTCATTCTTTAAAGATTCCCAGGTTTTTTTATTTGGTGGGGGGCGGGAGGGGGTGATGCTGGAAATCAAACCCAGGGCCTTGCACATGCCAGGCAAGTACTGTAGCACTGAGCTACATCCCCAGCCATTTTTTAAGTTTTATATTTTGATACAGGGTCTGCTAAATTTTCTGGCTTGCCTAGAACTTGAGATCATCTTGCCGCCACCTCTTTAGTTGCTGGGATTACAGGCCTGAACCACCAAGCCCAGCTTAAGGCTCTCATCGTAAACATACTTGGGGAAGTAATTCACTTATAGAAACTTTGTAGTAGATTCTGTTTCAAAATGTTGACCTGTTTTTATGCAAATAAGATAAAGTGTATTATTAGAATCTTGGTAAATATTTTGGATAAGTAATACACATGTAAAATTTTTTTTTCAGATAGTACAAAAGTCTATAGTAGAAACTAAGCCTACCAGTCTTCTGTTCTGTTTCCCTCCCAGAGACAGCAGTTGTGCAATCTTTCCAGGGATCGTCTGTACATGTGCAGTCATTCTGGCATGTCTGTGAAGAGTTGTGTGTGTATATGCAAGCACACATGCACACACTCATGTTTGTATTCCTCCATTTTTAAAACCACAAATGATAGCAAAATATTATTGCACTTTTCTTTTATCATTTTAACAATTTATAGAGATTATCCCATATTAATTCACGTTTTTTTCTACATATAAATTCACCAGTTTTTTAACTGCTGTACAAGCACAGTATTCCACAATATGTTGTGGTTTCAGATTAGTTTTGTTTTTGTTTTTAGGATGAGGCCCAACTTTTATACATAGGAAAGAAAAGCTGAGAGGATTCATGGATAAAGCTTTGAAATCTGTGCTCTGGTTCTTATTCCACTTCTAAGTATGAACAGTCTTAATTTAGTTGTATGACCTCTGTGAGCCTCAGCATCTCTGTCTCAAAGGATTTATAAGATACTTGTAGTTCTTACACTTTGTGAGTCAAAATCACTGTTAATGAAGGAAGCCCTTGCCAGCATTTACAAAGGTAAAGGCAGGCAGTTGCTGAAAATCAGAGGAATATTATAACTAGTCTTATAAAATAGAAGTAAATTATGAAAACAATACATTCTTTTTTAAAAACAATTTTTGTTAGGTGTCGATGGACCTTTATTTTATTCATCTATCTGTATGTGATGCTGAGAATCAAACCCAGTGCTTCAGGGGCTGGGGATGTGGCTCAAGCGGTAGCGCGCTCGCCTGCCATGCGTGTGGCCTGGGTTCAATCCTCAGCACCACATACAAACAAGGATGTTGTGTCCACCGAAAACTAAAATATAAATATTAAAAAAAAAAAAAAAATTCTCTCTCTCTCTCTCTCTCTCTCTCTCTCTCACTTTAAAAAAAAAAAACAGTGCTTCATACATCCTGGCAAATGATCAACCCAGCCCCAATATGTTCTTTTTACAGAAAGAGATTGTTAAATTTCATTTATTATTTTGTGGTACTAGGGATTAAATCCACGGACACTTTACCATTTAGCTACATCCCCAGCC